TCTTGCTCATGGATACACGCAGTCTTTAGTGTACTGCTGCTATAAATATTGCAACACAGGATTTCATGTGGACCTACATTGTGAACTTATTTGGGTTACCCCGACTTTGGGAAATGGCTTGGGTTCCAGGAGCCACCACTCTGACCTATTTGATGTGGTTGATTACTTCAGTCTGTGAAAGTTGAGGGGTCATGGGCCTGCCAGGAGGTTTGTGTGAGACCTGTGTGTATTTGAGTATATGTTAAGAGCCCTGCGATTTATCAGGTATCCATCTACACCAACGTAGCTGATTTTCTGGTAGGAGCAGCATCTGAAAAAACCCCATCCSATATCCTTGTCCACTTGCAGTAGACACTCTAGGAAGCAGGAATACAAATGAGATGTGCACTGTGTCAGGTGGTCAGTGTTGATGGGGAGAACCTCAGTAAAGGGTGCAGAGGCTGCACTTTCTCCTCCCATCTTGGTGCCTGTGGCTGTTCTCTCTGAACGTGATAGTCTGAGTCTGAGTTGCCTATGCCCACCTCCATCTGCTTGATTTTGTCCCACTGTGTGGGGCTACGTGAGTTGGCTGAAGTCTGGAACACAGGGRTTTTTTTCCTGGCTTCCCAGGTAGCACTCCTCTTGCTGTGTTGTCTGGAAGTGGTGAGAGCAGGCATCCTTGACTTGTTTTTGTTGTCATGGAGACAGCCTTTCATCCTTCAGAGTAGCCTTCAGTGTAGGTTTTGTAGATCTCTGGCACTTTTTAAGGTGTTTCATTTTATTACAGTTAGGTTTGCATCCTTATGTCAGAAAGACTTTGAGCTTTGTTGGAAGGACTTGAGCTTTGTCAGCTGGTTTTTCTTCATTCTTTCAAGTTTTCAACTCCTTTCCAGATGCACAATGTGCAGGTATTTTCTACAGTTCCTTCCAGTGCCATTTCACCTGCTGAGGTGTTGTATGAAGGACAACATTTTCCTTTCTAATGCTGATTTACTTTTAAGTTGCACATGTGGATGAGGTGCAATGAGCTGGTTGCTCATCTGTTTCATTACATCTTAATCAGATCAGGTCACTAGCTCTTCCATTCCTAACATTTATCATTTCTTAGGG